CGTTATTGTGCTGCAGGAGAGTGCCTCCGAGGTGATGGATGTTGCCGCAGCGTCAAAGCACACGCACACGTGCACGCACACGCAGCAGGCGCACTCTGAGACAGCGCACCGACGACGGCCACCGCAGTCAATCCTGATCAAACGTGACGTGGTTTCGGAGTGGAAGAAACGTTTGGGCAGTGAATACGAGATAATTTCTGTGGACTTGCTTGTGGTGGCTCAAGCGAATCTGGACAGCAGTAATAGTCTGGCGACGGATGGCAAACAGACGACGATGAGCAGTAAGACGTATCAGACGACGAGTGCCGAAGGGGGTGTGTTGGGTATATCGCTCGAGGGGACGGTGGACGTGCTGAACGGAACGCAGCTCTGCCCACATCACTATATCGAATCGCTAAGAGCCGGAGGACCAGCGGCCAACTCGAATGTGCTCAGATCTGGCGACGAGTTATTGCAGGTGATGAGCTGATTTTTTCAGATTTTTTTCTGAGAGATTACAGATATTACAGGTAATTACAGATGAGTTATTACAGGTGAGATGATGGTGGATGGGTGCTGATTTCCGGCGGGGGGGGGGCATATTTTGAACGTGGTTGGTTGGGCGGGGTAGGTTTTAGACGGGTGACAGCTATATTACTGAATATTATTATTAATATTATTATAAGAATTATGATATTATTATTTCAGAAAATGCAGACTGTCAACTCAGCACAGTAGCAAAGCGAGAAACAGATCTGGCGCACACGCGCGCCAGATTCGCTCCTCGCTTCGCTTCTGTTGGCGTGCGTTCGTGCGCGCGCGCGAAATTCAAATCAAAATTTTCGAAAATATCTCGCGGCGGCNATTGTATGGCAGAGCGCGGCTTGGATGTGTTGCAGCTAAAAACTGGGGTGATGATTCGGGAATTGGGGGATATTTTTTTGAGGATTTGAGGATGGATTATCTGAATTTCAGGTGAACGAAGTGGTACTGTACGGCGAGTCCCATGTTACGGTACGCCAGGCACTGAGTAAGGCGGCACTCTACAGTAATCGCGTCAGACTTACTGTAGCGCGCAAAGCGCACACAGTGAATGTTTTCGTGCCGAGACCCGAGCAGAGTCTGCCCCTGGCCTATTCGCTGCTGGCCGCGGCCGCCTCAGACGATCGCCTCGTCAAGGTGCGTGCGGACGTTATTAATTATTATTTATCGTAATTACATTATTTATTGTTATTATTTATCATATTTATTATTGTTATTATTTATTATATTTATTATTGTTTTTTTATTTTATTGTTATTATTGTTTTTGGCTTCAGGCCAAATCCGAGACGTGCCTACCGACCGTACGCGACCAAACGGCTGCCATTCTGGAGCAAGTTAATAAACATTTCGGATTTTTCAAATTTTTACTATTATTATTTAATATTTATTATTAATTAATATTATTAATATAAATAATAGTAAAAAGTATCATTTAAGGTATCAGAACGCCTCCGTTCAAGGTCGCTCCAACCGCTGTCGGGTTTAGCAATCTGGAAATGTGTCCCAATGATAGTCTATTTGGAAAAGGACAGCAAAGGCCTCGGATTTTCTGTTATTGATTACCAGGTTACTTTTATTATTATTATTGTTGTTTATTTAGTAATTATGTATAATATTATACAATTATGATAGTAATGTACAGTAATGAATATTGTTCTAGGATCCATTGCACCCAGGCGAGTCGGTAATTGTGATAAGGTCGCTGGTTCCCGGAGGTCAAGCCCAGGCAGACGGTCGTATTGTGCCTGGTAATAACTATAATAATATAGTAATAGTAATATAGTAGTAGTAGTAATCTTTGTATAGTAGTAATGTAGTAAGTAATGTTTATTTTGAGGTGATCGTTTGATGTTCGTGAACGATGAAGATCTCTCGAACTGCTCGTTGGACTACGCGGTGAACGTGCTGAAGTCCACTCCGAAGGGTTTGGTCAGGCTGGGCATTGCTAAGCCAGTGCCCATTGACCAGGTTTTGTTTTTTTATTTATTATTATTATTATATACATTATTTATTATTGTATATATAT